AAATACATAGTGTTATGTTCTGAATTGTACAGTACTTCCTTCTATGTATGAGGCAATAATCTTAAGAATAATGTATAATATATTCAAGATAATCTTCTTTTGCAAACCATTTTTTATATAATAATTGCAGTAATAAATATTGCAATAATCATATCGAATCAAATTTATATTGCATAGTTTGATGTTCAGTGAAATGCAACTGGTTTAATAAAACAAAATACAAAATTCATTAACTTAGCTACTCTATTGTTTCTGAACATGTGGTTCCGTTGTTCGGTTTTGCACAATCCAAGGATGTCTTAAAACATCCTCTAAAGGTAATCTTTCATCTGAATCAACTGTCAATAACTAAAAGAGAAAAATAAAAAAATTAATGTTTACTAAAATATTTCCATTTAATGGTAATAATACAAAAATAAAAGCAACTCACCTTAGATATTAAATTCCTAGCACCTTCACTAACAAAGTCTGGGAACTGATACAAAGCTTTCCTGATTTTCATGTATGTTTCTTCATAAGTATTAGCTAAAAATGGAGGAGAACCAACCAAGCATTCATAACAAAGAACTCCCAGTTCCCATAAATCTACTGTATGATCATGAGTTTTTCCAGCAACCATTTCTGGTGGTAGATAATCCAATGTACCACATAAAGTATTTCGTCTAGAAGAGGGAGCATGAACAGACCATCCAAAATCTGCCACTTTCAATTCACCTTTTATTCCAAGTAATAAATTTTCAGGTTTGATATCACGATGTATTACTTTTTTACTATGACAATATTTCAATGCATCTGCTAGTTGAGATATGTATGTTGCTGTTCTAACTTCATTAAAACGTTTTTCTGGTTGAGCATTCAATTCTTTAAATAATTCTCCATTTGGAGCATATTCCAAAATTAAATACACTCTCTTATCATCATGAAAATAGCCATACATTTTTAAAATGTTTGGATGTCTGTATATAGAATAAGAAACATTATTAATATAAAAACAATTACATTAATATTATTGTAAAAGTTAATGAAATAAACGAGATGTATTGTACATAAATTTTTGTGTTTTTACCTCAAATGCGTTTGAATTTCTATTTCTCTTCTAACTTGATGTTCTACGTCAGCTTTCTGTATTTGTGCTTTAAATAATACTTTCATAGCAATGATGAATTTTGATTTCTTTTCTCTAGCTAGATAAACATTTCCAAACTTTCCTTTTCCTAAAGGACGCCCAATATCAAAATCTGTTAAAACCCATCTTTTCTCACTTTGATTTTCGTTCTTTGTATTACTTTGTTCTTCATTTTTATCAATTTGTAAATTCTCCTCATTTCTATTTTCTTTATTACTGCTATCATCAGCTTTATGTTTAGTTTTATATTTTGGTGGCGGCATCAATTCTGTTAACTTTTTAATGTTCTTTTCGTTGCACTGTTTACTATTAATTAAATCTATATTACACTGATCCTTCGTAACATCTAAATTTTCTGTACTTTTTGATGTATTTTCATTTAATACACACAATGAATTAAACATTAAGAATATCCTATATAGAATAAATATCGTTTATTTTAATATAAGAATTACAATTAAATATTAATCAATTACTACCACTTACGTTCAAAACAAATTATGATGTCTACTACAGATTTCGTGATCTCAGTTTCGTTTCAAAATAACGAACTTTCTTGCTGTCTTTGGATTGGTCAGAATTCAAAATCATACATGCGAAGAAAATCATAAGATAGTGTGTTTTATTGAAAAATGTGAACTTAGGTAGCAGCGCTACCTACTGTTAAGATATGAAAGTTAAGTATCTTAAAAGTCTTGTTAAGTTAATAACATAACGTTTTACATTTTAAATAATAATTTATTGA